TGCAGTTTAAAGAGATCCGTGGCCTCTTGCTATTAGTCAATATGAAAGTCACTAAAGGGAAAATGCTTCAATTTCTTCCAAGAGAAGGAAAAAGCTCTGTCAAAAAGAGGAAGGGAACAAGAGTTTCCAAATAAAAATAACTGAACAGCAGACTAGATTTCTCCATAGAAAGAAGGAAATAATCTGGTAGAAACATGGAAATACTGACTACGTTTAACTGAAATTTTATAAGTCCCTAGACGGATTTTTGGTCACTAGACTATTTTACAACGATGATAATAAAATAAGATTAGAACGTAACATGAGAACAGCCGTACTAGCTCATATCAAAGGTATATTTAGCTCTGGTCTAAGTGTATAGGCATTTACATTTGCTGAATTTAACTGATTACCTCTAGTGTAATGTTGGAAGAGATAATGACTTGTGGATTACCATATATTTTCTCAACATTCTCATGACTTTGTTCAATTCCTATCATCTCTGTTTTGTTTCCCTTCTTCTATTGAGCATCGCAGGCAGAGAAGTCAGTCTATTTAGTTATTCTCTGTACCAAAACTCATCTCTCTCTTTGATTGCCTATGCAACACCTCTGGGTACCTTTCCTGTTAAGATAAGGAAAATCAGAAAGACACAGTTTTCCAAGTACAGACGCAGTAGAGATTTAAACAGTGCAATAATAATGTTCTGTACAATTTCTTTTTCCTGCTGTAATGATTCTTGGGGGTAAAGCTGCAGTCTATTTACTTTTCAACTGCTGGTGAGTAAAGAACTGCTGGTTCTATAGAACTGACTACTGTTAACAGCAAGATGGAAAAATCAACTCAGAATGCAGTTTATGAAGATTAGGATTATTCTTCTCCTATATGCATGAGTTCACATCTGTTTACATAAAACTTGGATCTTTTTGGAAATATTTTGGAAAGTTTAATACTTTTTGGAAATCAAACAAGATCTCCCTTATCCACTTGTTTGTTAATTTCTTCAAAGAAATCCAATGTATTCATGACGCATAGCTTCCCCCTGCAAAACATATGGTGACTCTTTACCATTCTGTCATGTTTATTCACACTTCAGCCAATTCTCTTCTTTAGAGAAGTTCCCATCAGTTTCCTTACAATGGTCACCAGACTTATTGGGCAGAGGTTTTGCTCACCTTTTAAAATGCAGCACTGCATTTCCCATGTTGCTGATACTGAGGATTGAGAAGTTTCAGTTGAGAAGTCATCCACCTCAGTCAACAATTCAGCTATTTATTTCTGTGACAAGTTTCTTTACAATTATGTTTCAAACCTTTAAGTAACCTCTGATCAGCATATTTGAATGCAACCAATCCTTTAAAAATATAATAAAATAAGACTTATTCCTGAAGAAACATTATATTTTCTTCAAAATTATAAAGAGCCTATTGTCAGGGCTGACAAATTTCAGACCTGGTTCAATGACATTTTTAAGGTCTAGTTTCTTGGGAATCCTCCAGACACGAAACATCTGTTTTGTCCCATTAGAAACCTAAGCCTTTACTTCTACATTTGCCTTATACAAAATATTAATTTTCTAAACAGAATATAAAAGATTTGCATTTACCCTGGGATCTCCTTGATAGTATCAGGACTGTACATTAATTGCAAGCACTGAGTGTGCTGTTGTATTTCCTGATTGGGTCTATTTTTCTAATCTATAACTATTGTCACTTGAGCTTTTTTTATAGCATCACTTGTACACTGTAAAAACATACCATTTATACGTAACTGTTAGGCTGTTAAAAGTCTAGATTTTGAACCAAGACTCAAGTGTTTAGGTAGTGCGTTAACAGAATAAGAAAGGATGCATTACCCCACAGAAAATCCTGTCTAATTGCAAGGCAGAGTGGGAACAGAAAGCGATAATGTGATGATATTCATCCATACAGAAGACAATAGTCTACACATACTGGCAGCCTAATTATTGTATATTTTTTTTTATAAGCAAAGCAAAATTTTAAGAAGGAACTTAAAATTGATAACAAAGGGCTGCTTTACAGATATTTTCAAGAGTCTTCCAAGTGTGAATCGTTACATAGGAAAATTATAGAGGTACTTTTTTGAAAATGTAACAAGTAGACTCTCACAGAATGAGAAAAGACAGGCTCTAAAAGATCTTCACAGACAAGACAAGTTCATGTTTAATATGACCCAAGCAGGAGGAGGGAGCTAGGAGGAGAAAAATCAACTTTGTTCCAAAATAAGGGCAAGTTTAGAATGTTATTTTTATGGCATTTCACACAGTTATGAACAAGACAAGATTGTGTTTATCCAGCCAAAAGGTAAAAAAGTTGCATAATAAAACTTAACGTGACCTGATCTTTACGTATAGATGTATACAAATGACTATCTGTCTCCGAGAGTCTAGACAGAAAGAATGTTAGAGGCAGAAGTCTGAATGTGAAAAATGAAAGGGATGTGCAAATCAGAGAGGAAGTCTGCCACAGAATGATCAGAGTGTTAGAGGCATATTCAAAATGTGGTAAAATTCCCTAGTAACAATTCTGAATTTGCACTAAGTCCAGAAAAACACAGGTTAGAGACAAATCCAGGATTTACCATCTAGTTGATGGCTCTGGTTTATAGTCAGTAGCTAAATTAATATTTGAAAATGCTGTTAACCCCATAGATCTGGTAACAGGGAAAGTGTGATGGGGATTCAGGACAGGATATTGTGGATGAAAACATTGAAAATGAGTATCCTGTAAAGGACATGCTGAAGGTTAAGGAGAGAAGAACAGATGAAAGAAAATTGTACTACAGTATGCATATTTTCCATTATTTTAGCCATTCAGACTATTTCATTATTTAGATACAACAATAATGCATCAAACAATTTTTGCACTCTTGTGGTATTTGCCCAAATATTTGATGCAATGGAAGGACTCCAGTGAGTTAAGCAGACTTTGAACCAGTCTCTTCCTGCCCTCTCAAATCTGACAAACAATGTGCTTTTGCCCTGTAACATTCTCACAAGACAACTTGCTGAAATCAAATTAGCACATCGAAATATTGTTAGCTATAATTAACTAGTAAATCAGCAGTTAGTTAATTAATGAGTGTACCCGTGCTCCCCAGAGTCAAGTAATTTCTTATTTTAGTTTCAGCAAACATGCCTACCAAGTAGAGGGATGCAAGTATGTGACGCCTTGGAAACATGTTTCTTATTATTTGAAAATGAGAAGATGTAATAGGTCTACATTTTTAGAAATGGTCTTGTTTGACAGTCCAAAAAACAAAAAGCCAGTTTTGATTATAAAGTTAATTGATTTTTGAGACCTAAAGTAATATGTGGTTACAGTTGCATGCAATTGTTTCCTTTAATCCAGCAGAGCTGTCTTAAACTGTGAAACAGCTGCTCAGACTCCATTTCATTCAGAGCATGGGGATTTTTATTTGAAGATCATCAAACTTTCAAGCGTTTCCCTATCTGTTTTTCCTAGCTAAGGGGAGGAAAAATGGTACTCTGGCTCTGTTCTTCAGTTTTCAATTTCTTCTCACAACCTGTATTATGGAATATGGAGCAGGTGGATTGGTCTTTGGAAGCCATATTGCAATTTAGAGTAGTTTTCAACAATATGCTATACTAACTTTCCTACAGTAGTAAATTTTACTCCTTATGTGCAGTAAGAAATTATTTTAAAACTGCTGTGTTTTCTTGAGATGGCTATACCTACATTTAGGCAAGCAGATATCTTCTGTACACAGAATGAGAATGTGTTTTATCTGTACCTAGTTCCATAGCTCATAGACCATGTACTTACACAAGTGGAATAGGGATTTTTCTAAGCCAATCAATACTTCTCTATGCCTCTAAAATATTATATTTTATACTGTTAGACATTTTTCGGCTAACAAGATTTTTGATTGATTCGCCCAGCTAATGGTTGCAGTAGCTGAAGGCACTGCCCTGAACTTCCTGTTGCCATCCCTCTGCTGCAGCTCACTGCCCCTGCAGCTACGCGGTGGGATCAGCAGCCTGTCCTGCTCTTAGCTGCCTCATCACATGCTCTAGCTCCTCAGATCAGCTCTTCCTTCAGCTTCAATTTACACCAAGACGCCAAACTCTGCACTGAAGTGACCAATGTGCACACATAAGCTTTCTCCTGGGCAGTGGTCTTCAACAAAAGAGGACCACAGACAGCTAGGATAACTCTTTAACTGACTGTTCCTAGATCTGCCGAAACCTCTGCTCACTGGTTATTCTCTTTTAACACTCTTTTCCAAGGCTGAAATTTTTCATGACTGGGAAAAAAAGAGAACTCTAGTTTGCATTAAGATAAATAGAATACATTTTAAAAATCTATCAGTCTTCCTGCTTTTGTTTGTGAAGACTGCCAGCTAAAATCCAGGATATCATATGGCAGAGAGACATATTTTTCTCTCTCACTTAGAAACACCTACAGCATATTATTGAGACCAAAAAAAGGTTTAATGCAGCAAACAGGTGTGTGTTTTACATATTTGACTCCAGTTTTTGGAGAAATAAATAAACAAAACAAACCTTAATATATTCTCTGCACATAAGAGACTCCAACAGGATTTTCCTCCAAAATTTTGTCTGGCTGCTTGGATTAACCAATCCTAAAATAACTAGGAGGATTTTGGGTAAACAGAAATAAATATCTGAACTAAAGTTCAGATATGAATTATGTTTCAGTATTTAATTTTAACTTAATTTAGTTTTGCAACAAACTGTACAGATTATAAGAGAAATTTTCTGCTGCCTTTGAAAACAAGCACTTCCATCAGCAGCTGATTTTCAAATGTGTTACTTGTGTGATAAATGACCCGCATCATGTTTCGGAGCATTTCTAAGTTTTTTAGAGTTCTTTTTTCAGTCCCACCTCCTATATCCCTGTTTAATTTACAACTTAGTCTCAAATTGTAGTATTAGTGAGATGATGACAAACTAAAAATTAATCTGATTGCAGTAGAAATACATAACTTAAATAATTCAGAACAACATGCAGACTGACCTGTCCAGTAATAGGTTAGGTGCAAATAAAAGCTTTCCTGGGTGTTCCATGGAGCGCCAGACTAAGCCAATCATCAGTATCTCTAACCAGGCACATTCCAGTAGATGGACCTGATCATGGAGTGTTAAATCCACAAATCCTGAAACAATAAATAGGAGACAGTAAAAACACTCCAGTTTTGTAAGTAAGTAGAACATTGTTCAGAGAATCAGGTTAAAAAATGCATCGAAGCTGGATAACCAAAGAGAAAAAGCAATAAACCAGACATTTGTCCATCTTACATTTTGGGCTGAGTTTTGTCTATTATCAAGTCCCCTATGGCTCCATCCTACAGAACAGTCAGCACTTTCTGGCCCCCTGGTTGTGTCCTGGCTGTACCCTGCCCCAAGAAGAGAGCAAGAGCCTGGTGAGCATCTCCATCACCATGCTTGTTGCTAGTGGCCTGGGAAGCTGGGGAGACTCTACAGCGAGGGACAGCTGTCTGCTCCAGTCCCATGGTGCCTGGGTCAAGATGGAGGGAAAATGGAAAAATGCCTCTTATAAAATGAAATGATAAAATGATAGCTCTAATCAGCTAATCCTAGATCACTTTACAGACTGGTGAACCATTCACCGTGCTGCAAGTGCCATGCCTGTGTGGAAGAGGGCCCTATCCAGCATTTCAAATAAACTAGCAAGCAAATACGGATCACTGCACAATCAGAATTCACTGCTTGTATTTCTGTTAGACTGTAGCACCTGGAGGAAGGAAGTGACCTCTCTTACTCTATATTTAAACGATGCTAGAAACCATAAATGCAAAATTGCTCATAGCAAAACTAAAATATGAATATGAATGAATAGCAATTAAAATAGATGTGAAAGTATACTGACAGTGGTCATTCCTGGGTTCATTTCATTGAACAGATTATATCAATCTCTATTTGAGAGTCTCACTTTTCGTGAACACCTCTCCTGTGAGGAAAGACTGAGAGAGTTGGGGTTGTTCAGTCTGGAGAAGAGAAGGCTCTGGCCACACTTTATTGAGGTCTTTTGGTGCTTAAAGGGGGCTTGTAAGAAAATGGGAACAAATGAGGCCTGTTGCGATAGGACAATGGATAATGATTTTAAACTAAAAGAGAACAGATTCAGATTAGATATAAAGAAGACATTTTTTACCATGAAAGTGATGAAATACTGGAATAGGTTGCCCAAAGAAGTAGCAGATGCCCCATACCTGGAAACGTTCAAAGTCAGGTTGGATGGGGCTGTGAGCAACCTGATCTAGTTGAAGATGTCCCTGCACATTGGAGGGGTGGGTTTGGACTAGATGACCTTTAAAGGTCCCTTCCAATCCAAACCATTCTATAAGTCTATGATTCTATGAATGTTACTTTCAATCCAAAGATATAAGAGAAGGGGAGATTGTGTAATATCCTTTATTAGATCCTAATGTAAGTTATTCTTTAAAATTAGCATGAACTTGGTAAAACGAAATGTGTAGAAGTTCCCTTAAAATAGATCTTATTTATATTTTACTCCGTGTTATGTGCAAAACACATTGTTGAACTTTGCCATAATTATTTTTTTCCAATTGTAATTGATTCATATTAGTCTTCAGAATACAAGTTATAGGGTAAACTACCTTACCAGCCCAGTAAATAGCAGTGATTTGAATATACCTGACATACTCTTGAGTACTATTTTGAGAAAAGGAAAAAAAAAAAAAGGCAAATATTTTTAAAGTTAAATGTACTATGAAATATTTCTAAAAAAAAAAAATCCAAAAAACAAAGAGAAAGAGAAGGAACAAAATATAGTTGACAATTACTTAGAAAATATTGTTATGTTCTGCAAAACAGTTGTTGATATAATTATTTTTAATTAAAACTTTTGAGAGAGCTAATCAGTCTATTCATAAAGAATCGTTCAGAAAAAGGAAACAGCTTTGACATGTTTGAAATAAAACTCATCCATCAGTCCTTAAGAGTGAATTTAGACAGTTGCAGTACCTGCTACTTTTGAGGGAGGAAAAAAGTTGTCTTTTCCTGTATTTTCCCTTTATTACTGATGCAAAAATGACTTTCAGACTTCATAGACTGATAGAACAGCATTTATCTGAGTCACCAAACAGCCTGAAACAATAGAGCTGAAATTTGAAAGAGCAATATTCCTAACTACAAAGCATTGATTACAGCATTTGAGAATAAAATTGGCAAAAAAACTGCTGTCTACATATGGAGTATAAACAACAAACACTGTGTGTCGTATTAGATACTGCCTTAGTATGACAATGTATAATAATACAGTGTTTTTATCTATGCTTGAAGAGTACCACAGCAACACAGGGACACAAGTCCCCATGTGCTGTCTGAAGTTTGCAATCAGCACATTACAAATCAGTTATATTGCTGTCATCTCATGTGTCTGCACGCTCTTCTACAGTGGATTGTTTCTATCGTTGCACAAAACCCGAGCTTGTTACAACGGTGGCAATTCACTTTCCTATAAAACTCTGCTAAGTATTGTGCGCAAAAACTAAAGAGAGAAAGTCTAAAAGAAAGTTAATAAATAACCTCACTAGTATTGTAGAGGGGGGATGTTTTGTTAGCCTGCTCTGACAATAAAAACATACTGCCTAACAATGCTAACATCTTTTAAAGCACCTGAACGTGACTAGTTTGCATTTAAAAAGTCCTAAAAGGATTGGCCAACAATATTATTGTTGTCTGGAACATTAACTCTGACTTCAGTGAAGCTAAGGAAGTTTCAAAAAGCTAGGATGAAAAAGAAAACTGATGGTGAGTCCATAGTGTAAAGCATTAAATGATCTGTCAGCCTGACATCTACTTTGGGTTCTATAACAAAACAGCTAACACAAACCTTGATCAATGCAGGTTTAAAAGTATGTAATATAATAATACATATCTACTGTAATTCATAAATAACCTTATGAAATAAACTTGACAGATTTTTAGGTGCCATTACAAGTTCAGTTGATACAAATAATTGTTTTGGTGAAAATAAATTTAGGAGACATTTGATTTTGTAAAAAACATGCAACATATTAACTGAATTAAAATATTTTAAATCACACATCCCAGTGTGTAATGGCAAAAGGAAAGTGAACTGAACTGAACCAAAGTGTTTCTAGAGGAATGCCATAAAGTTTACTTATTTACCCTAGATCATTTGTTTAATGATGACATACAAAAAACAGAAATCGTTACTTAGATATCATGATGGCATGTGGAAAATAATGCAAAAAGCAGGTTGATAATATAAGCAATCTAATTCTCTCACTAGCTTCATCATAAAAAATACAGAATAAGGTTAAAATCAACAATATTAGGCACATATACAAGATGGAAACAGTAGCAGCTATGAAGAAGACTTGGAAATGATGAAGAAATATCAGCCCAGTTTGAGCTACCAGTGGGAAACTGCATCTAATACAGATGATGAACTTTGTAAAAAGCCAGGGAAACTCTAAGGCAGTAAGGAAACTAAATTACCTCTGTTTTACATGAATGTAGTAACCATTCAAGAAGGATAAGTTGAACAGAATGATAGAGAAACATCAGAAAGAATAAGGCATTGAAAAACATGCCCTCTAGTGTGGAATAAGAGGAATTTAGTTACTCTTTGTGAAGATAAATAGACTAAAGGGTTTAAAGGACTGCAATGGGTAAATATTTAAAGAAAAATAGAACAGCACTACAAAAAGTAATGGCATAACATACTGAAGCCCACGCTGGAAACTAAACCTGCTCCAAGCCAGACTACAAATGAGGGGCCATTGTTAACAACAAAAGTAGTTATTATCTAAGCAACACACTAAGTTTCCATGAATTTGTTATCATTAGAAATGTTAATCAAGATTTAATTGTTATTTTTAAGACGTACTCTTGTTCAAGCAAGGTTATTCAGAATAATGTTACAGAAAGTTAAATTGTGAATAAATCATTAATCACTTCATCACTCAGAGCATGCTGTACTTTAATGTCACTAAAATTATGTGTAGATGTGCACTGCATTCTTAAATATCAGTGTCTTTTAATGCTGGCAAGTTTTGAAAGGAAAAGTACTTTTGATTTCTAAATTTATAGTTACTGTGCTTTAAGGAAAAAGAAAGCACTTTACTCTTGACAAATTAATTAATTGTAGCTTATGGATATAACCTACATCTGACCCCATACACCAGACTGACTAATTACATGACCTTAAGAGATATATCAAAATCCTTTTGTGGCCAAAACCCACTAGATCTAGACTGCACTAAGACATTCATATATCTATGCTTGGCAGAAGAAAGACACTAATAGAGTAAAAGCCATGGCTGTACCATCCCTTTTTCATATGCAGATAAATTAACGGTATTTTTGAGTGATTGCAAACACACTAAACAGTAATTGTTCCACAAACTCTTGTATAAATACGGAAATCTGAACTTTTGAAAAGTCCAAAAGGTCTTCTGAGCACTCAGCTAAGAGTAGGTGGCAAACAAATTTGTATCGTGTAGAGCACAAAACGGTAATGTTCAAACTAAACTGATTATCCTTTCTAATACAAAGCAACAATATGCGCCGCATCAGTGATAATATGATACGAACCTCCCTCTTCCAGACAAGACATCCTGAAGCAGCAGTGTGTCCATGGAGGAAAAGCTATAAATAGCCCTATTGTGGCAAGCATGACTCTCTAGAGGTGACATTAGACTTGGGAATCCCAAATTGCATGACTATACCCTCCTAAAAAATGAAGGCAGCAACCATCTAACAACAGGTATGAGCTAACGTCATCATCTGGGATTTTGGGCAGTTGCCCAAAGGGAAGGGCTGTCATGAAAGAACACGAGGATTGCTGGAGGTGTATTAGGTAAAACACATAGCCCTGACAACAACAGAGAAGTGGTTTATGCAGAAGATTGTTTGGTTGGAGTAAGGAACAACATAGAGCTAAGATAGTTTTCATTTATTTCCACTCTAACGTACATTGTGAGCCCCATAGTCCTCTGAAATAACCACCGACAATATATATATGTATATATGTCAAATTTTACCAATGATTTGAAACTAATAAATTTATTATTTTCCTTAGTGTCTCTTGACCTAATAAGGAGCTTTCTACTTTATCAGAAACAATTTCTCTAACAATTAA